GGGGGGGTCAAGGCTGCGGCACCCACCGCCCCATGCACCCACCACCCCACCCTGCACCGCAGCGGGTGCGATGCTGTGACCGGTGACAGATGCTTAGCCCCAAATTTCTGCTTCCCCCCACTCCTAGTTTGGGTGAGCAGCATCCCCAGTTTGGCCAGTGGGCACTGGAGGGGCTGGGTGGGTGGGCAGAGGTCCCCAAAGACATCAGGGGGCTGCCAGGATCCCATCTCCCCTTCTCCCTGGTACTTACGTGTATTTTCGGGTGAAGCACCTGGAAATGAAGCCATGTTCATCCTGCTTCTCCTCGTGTTTGCCTTGAATTAAAAAAAAACGGGATGGTTGGAAGGGGCCGGCTGGGTGGGCAGTGAGCTGGGAAGGTCTCCATTCCCCGGGGTGCACCCATCCCTGCCCCAGCCCACCACATCCCCAGTGGGGCTGATCCTGCCTGTCCTGGTTTTCTTTGCCTTAATATCAGCCTGGAGCAACTGGGGGTGGGGGGGACCAGGAGCAGCGGGGCCCCTCTGGGAGCATCCCCCAAATTCAAGGGGAGCAAAGTGTGGCACCAGGAGCTGGCGGTGGCCAAGGTGACCCAACCGCCGCCGGCTGGCCCCATAGCCCTCATTTTGGCCCCACAGCCCTCATTTTGGCCCCACAGCCCTCATTTTGGCTCCCCAGCCTGGCGGGGCTGGAGACTGAGCACCCGCCCCTCCCTGGGGCTACACCCCTTAATCCTGCTGGCTGAGGAATTGCCCCCACCCCCTGCGGACCCCCCCTCTCCAGGCACGAAGCACGCCGCTGGCCTTGTGCCACAGGGTCTGGGCTTTGTCACGGTGTCCCTGGCTGAGCTGCCCAGGGAGCTGCTGGGGGGGCACAGGGGGGCTGCAGGACTCGTGACACCCCACTATCACCCCCAGGTCCCTCTGTGGCTCACAGCCGGGGGGTCCCTCCCCATGTCCTGGCTGGGACAGCAGTGAGGGGTCAATATATGGGGCTGGGGGGGGGGTCTCTGCACCCTGTGCAACACCAGCATGAGCGCACCCCGAGCCTGAGCTTGTAATGCTGGGCCTTCCTCTTCGCCTGGATTTTCCCCTTCCCTTTTTCCTTTCCTCTCCTCCCATCCTGTCCCTTCCATCGCCTCCTTTTGCTTTTTCTTCCCTTGCTTCCCATCACTTATTCCACTCTGCTTTGCCTTTCCACCCTTTTTTTCCCGCAGCAAGCCCCGGTGCAGCTGCCCCAGCCGGGCACCCGGAACGGGGGGAGACCCCACAGCCCCATCCCCATCCCCAGCACCCACCAGTAATCTCCACGATATTATCCTTGGTTTTGACCACCAGCTCCTCGGGTGCGAAGTGGTTGACGTCCAAGGTGACCTTCCAGCTGTCGGCGGTCTGACGGATCTCGGAGATGCCGCTGCTGAGCTGGCGGCTCAGCGCCTGCCCGTAGGGCGAGCCGGGGGCCGGCAGCAACGCGCTTTCCCGGGGCAGCAGCCGAAAATATCCCGGCCAGGCGCTGCCGCTCGGCCACTTGTACCAATCCTCGGGGATATGGGGCATCCCGAAGGACTGATCGAAGAGGCGGCTGCCATGGTACCAGTCGCGGAAGGGGTCCCAGCTGGGGCTGCGCAGGAAGGTGAAGGGGACGCGGCGTTCGGCCATGGTGCGTGGGGGCTGCCGGGGGGGGCGGCCAACGGCGACTTATGAAGAGGGCCGGTGGTTATTTTTA